TGCACCCCTTCTCTCTCGCGTGCGCAGCAGCCTCCGTCGTTCTGTGTAAACTTTGCGAAGGCAATTATCAGGCACTAAAGACGCAGAAATCGTTGTTGGTTTTACGTGGCGTTGCGCCTTGCAAAGATCGAGTCTATAGAGTGTTGAGCTGCTGCTGCTGCTGCTGCTGCTACTACTGCGCTGACGCACGCACACACACACACACACACACACACACACACACACACACACACACACACACACACTGCGTCAGCAGGGATGACTCATCATCAGCGCCCATCAGTAGCGCATCCCGGATCACAAACGATCGACGCGCTGTTTCCATCGAAATTGGTCGACGCGCAATTTTTTTTTATATCCCCTTTTGCATTTTATTGCCGTGCCGGCCAGCGGCCATGTTAATTAGAAGAATGGAGCCAATGCGGTCGACTTTATGCGTTTACGACGGCGCTCTGCTGTCTGGCGTTCACATGCACGTGGACCTTTATATTTTTATACGGCAGTTTTACCGCATATATGGCAATTGTAAAACCTACAGCGCTCGCCGTTCACGACAGCTTCGCTCGTTGTTAGCTTTACAGCTAATGCAACCGAAAACGCAGATCACCGTAACATACACACATGGATATACGCATGCATGCACGCACGCACGCACGTACACACGCACACACACGCGAGCGATTCGTATAAACCTACCAACCCAAGCGCGCATTCCACATATATATATATATATATATATATATATATATATATTACATATATATATGTGCGTGTGTGCGTGTGTGTGTGCGTGCGTGCGTACGTGCGTGCGTGCGTGCGTGCGTGCGTTTGTGCGTGCGAGCGTGTGTGCGTGAGTGCGTGCGTGCGTGCGTGCGTGCGTGCGCGTGTGTGTGTGTGTATAATCTTCACTACTATACACCTACGCTTTCATAAAACTATTTCTAGCATTGCGTACACGCACTTGTGTAAGAAACCACACATCACATGGAATTTGTTGGGCTGATGGCTTCACCATAGCAATCCTCTCATCTCTATTGCTGCCCGCCCCTCACCACCACCAGCTCCGCTGGGCCTTCCACCACACTAATGCATCATTTATGCGTGCTCACGCTACGAAAAATCAATACATAAAATACCCTAAAACATTTTACGTGCGATGAATGTACCCAGTGAAATGTAGTGTTATCGACAATATAAGATGTTATCGTAACTTTATGTAATAGTCTTTTCATCGTAAATCTGAGGTTAGTCGCTTGTAGAAAGACTATCTATAGATATCTAACTTCACCATCGTGTCCGTGCCCTCACATATAGCTCTCGCAGTATAACGGTGGTCAGTCATTATTGATGTGTGCCTATAGCGAAGACAGCGAATTTAATAATGTTCTTCGACTTTTTAATTCTCGCTTGAATTTTATATTTCGTTTATTTTTTTGCTCAGATTTAAATATTGCTATACTGGGGAATGCGAGCAAGCGTATAACGCCAAAATAACTGGTACATGTACCTGTGAGGGAGTATATCTTGTTGTATGAGGTTATGTACGTGAGATTATATATAGATATATATATATATATATATATATGGTACAACGACGGTGGGTGAGGAAGAAATGTTTTCCTGCCCGCGACAGTAAAAAACGTGTTCTTATAGAGG